ACTGTTTCAGTGTCAGTTGATAGTTTAGTTTTAATAGCAGTTGATCGGTACATCGCTGTCAACGACCCTCTGCTTTATTCCACAAGAATCACAGTTTGTAAAACCTCACTGTTTATAATTATAGCCTGGTCATGGGCTGTCTTCTACAACGTCATTCTTATGTACTTTAATAACCATCTGCTTCACTCTCAGATCTCTGCTGAATGCTATGGAGAGTGTGTTCTTGTCATGAAATATTCCTGGATGATTGCTGACATTGTAGTTTCATTTCTGTTCCCTTGCACTATTATACTGATCCTGTACTCAATCATTTTTAAAGTGGCAAGGCATCAAGCCAAAGCTGTTAAAGCTGTGAAGAACAGTGTCACAAACAACCATGGAAGCAAAGTTTCAAGCTCTTCTGAAACTAAAGCAGCCAAAACTTTGGCCATTGTTATTTTCTTGTATCTTGCATGCTGGATTCCTTTCACTGTAGGACCTCTTTCAGTCGAAGACGTCATCAGTTCATCACTGGTGGTTAGTGTGGTCAATTGGTTTCTGTACATCAATTCATCTGTTAATCCTCTTATATATGCCATCTTCTATCCATGGTTCAAAACATCGGTGAAGTATATTGTGACCTGTCGGATTTTTGAGTCTTCTTCTTCAAGCTTTAGTTTGTTTCCTGAACGCTTGTAACCAAACTTTAATACAGTAGATTTACATTCAAATGCAAAAGGTCAAATAACATTTTTTTCCTGGTGTTTCTAAGTGAAAATTAATTAACACATCCTCTACAGAGAACATATTTTAATGTATATTTACTGTTCATTTGCTGAATTTAACATATTGGGGAAAACATGAATAAATATAAGAGTTATGGCACATTTTATATTTTATGTTGATTTCTTTTTCCCCCAACATGTTAAATTGGCATATCATTTGACCAGGAGTGCTCACACCATATGTACTGATCAGTTTGGACACCTTTGATTAAAGATTGTACATAAAATGTGATATGGATAAAAAAAAAAAATGGATAAATCATACTAATGCACTAATATTCAAAGCAGTTCAATTTATCTGAAAGTTAATATTGTTTATGCATAGTTATATTTAGCTCAATCGGCATATATCTATATTGCTCATCAGTTCATAATCAGCACAATATATTCTTTCCCCAAAAACAGCTATTTAAAGGTAACATAAGTATAATAAATTCTTCTTGTACATATGCATAGCTTCTTTATAATACTTTGCTTAATTATTGTTTGCTGAAATAAAAGCTAATCATTCTATTCTTGTAAAAATGAGTCTCAAGAAAGTACTCAGTGGAAAAATACTTTGAAACATTCATGAACAGGTTTACAACACCTGTATTATAACTGCATTATCACTGCTGGCTTTCTTAATCTTAAAGGCCTTCACAATATGACTTGCCTTGTATCTACTGAGTTGTTTTCCTGGTGGTGATATGGCGCTGTTACCTAAATACTCTTTCTAGGCACATTTTTCAAAGGGCACCTAGAAAAGAAAGAAATGTTTGGCATCAACTTGATTTCAAAAAGGTCCTATATGTCCTGGGGTTATAAGGCCTAGAATTAGAAACAGATGGATAATAAGATTCCTAATAAGAATCAGATTATGGGTAGAGCTCTGAGCAGCATGGTGAATGAAAACAAAAACAAAAGCACATGGCCTAGTCATGTGAGGTACCACACAGGCCCAGCAGGGGGGAGTGTACAACAACTTATATGCCCAGAGTTTAAATGCAAAGCAGCATGATGATTCTGTTAAATAAAAATGAGGTAAAAATGACAGACATGTATTTTTTCACTTGACAGAAATGATTAAATCTTCCCTGAATGCGTAAAATACGCTGAGGAATCCTTACGGCTTAAAGGCTCATGTTATGGTGTAATTTTGTCAAACTTTAGTAGTTTTAATCAAAAGGAACTGAGATTGTAACCAGAACTGTTACTCTGTTCAAGTCTTGCTGTTTAAAAGAATAAATAAGGTATAAAAGACAAATCTAAAGAATTAACATGTGCAGTAGTGGAGGAATCTGAAAAATGAGAAAGGTCCTAAAAAAAGATTGCAATGCACAAAAATGCAAACAGGCATTCTCTTGAAACACCTCAGTCACTCAGCTATCTAAAACATCTGGAACTAGTTAGACCACATTTCTTTTGCTTTTGTTTCCCAGCTGAAGCCACAAACAATGCACTGTGTTACTTTCAGTTGCAAAAGTCTTCTGTTGTTTGACAGTTAATGTAATTAATCTAAAATAGTAATGGCTTCGGCTGACCACTGGTGGATGGACAGCAGGTCACAGAGTAAGTTGTTAATTCTTTTGTTCTTTTTAACAAATAGCATTTGACCGTGAATAGATTGTAAAGGCATGACTGAGCTTGTGTAACTGGAGATGGACGGATGCTATCCTGGTGTAGAATAGTTTCCTGAGTGGTTACGGTGAGTTCATGTTCAGTAAATATCCAGTTCCAGCTGTTCCAGTTCTAGCTAATGTGCAAATTTAAATAAGAAAAAGTAAAAATATAGAGGTGGGAAATACTTAAAGCAATGGCTCATCCAAAAATCATTTGCAGAGTATTTTCCTCACACCAAAATGTAATCAATCAGCCAAAATATGGGCTGGTGTCTGAAGTTTGCTTCTTCACTTCTGTACTTGAGCTTCGAGCAAAATGTAGCTAATACATAATAAATGTTTAAAAGCAAGTTAGCATCATGCAAACTGCCTGCCTAATTCTTCAGACATGCCTCACACTAAACTGAGTAATTAAGGTCTATTCTGACACAATGTGAGTCACAGTGCTGTGATTTCTAACTGCTAAAAAAAATCATAGAAGCCATTAAAAGCTTCTGTTGGTTCCTGATGGAGTTCACTGGTCACCAAAAATATTTCGTTTTTTTTTTTTTGTTTGTTTGTTTCAGGTGTTCTGAGACTGACTCCAGGTGCATTTGATTTGATTCAGATTCCCAATTAGATCTAAAAGAGTCCTACAGGAAATTAGAGGTCTCTAAGGGTAACCATTATGCCAATTCCCATTAGAAAGGAAAACCATCAGGTTTCAATTCTAGTGGTTCTGATTTTCATCAGGGTAAACTTAGTGGCTTAGACAAAAACAGGGCTAGCATTTTGTCCATTTTTGTCCATCATCATAGATAAGAGTAGGTCGGACAATGTCTATTTGAGATTACTTAACAATTCAAATTAGTTTGAGGCAAGTGTGTGATGATTTATACAGCTGTTTGCGCAATTGGCTATAGGCTTCCATTCCTTTGAATGAGACACAAATTTCCCACCTCCGACTAAGAAAAATCAAAGAAAACATCCCCATCTGGGAATTCCTACTTGAAAAGTTGGGATTGTGTTCACAACTTCGAGCCCAGCATATGACGTCAAATCAACATGGCTGCTCACACTGTCAATCGTAATAAACCACTTCTCTACATTCAAATGAGATTTCAACAAACAGGGACAATAGCTGGCTGACCATAAATTTTCACTACATTATGAATGTTAAAGTTACCTCTCATATCACAAACATTAGCTGGCTGATCATATTTGCTTTCATTTCATGTTTTTGTGTCACTTGGATGAGGTTGAAAATGCAATTCTGAGCTCCAACTTCCCACTTCTGAGCCAAAGTGAGCACAGAATTAAGGCCTTTACACACCGAACGCGATTGATTTGACAGTTAAGTCATCAGAGCACATTATAACAGATTATGTCTTGCACACCAAATGAGATAAATACGATAATTTATTTGTTCAGTTTTTGTGAAATTCTACCAGCGTCATGAACTCACTGACCAATCAGCTTCATCTCTGCTGCTAGCTTGATGGCAACCAAGCTGATGGTTCAGCTGCATCCCCACAGCTCGAACCTTTTTACCAACATTAAAAAAAAAAAATGTTTGGTTGATGGGTTGATATCACAGTGTAAGGTGTTCTTTTAGTTTATCAGGTGTTCTGAGACTGACTCCAGGTGCATTTGTTTTGATTCAGATTCCCAATTAGATCTAAAAGTGTCCTACAGGAAATTAGAGGTCTCTAAGGGTAACCATTATGCCAAACCATCAGGTTTCAATTCTAGTGGTTCTCATGGCCTTATTTAGCAGGGTAAACTTAGTGACTTAGACAAAAACAGTGCTAGCATTTTGTCCATTTTTGTCCATCATCATAGATAAGAGTAGGTCAGACAATGTCTATTTGAGATTACTTAACAATTCAAATTAGTTTGAGGCAAATATATGATGATTTATACAGCTGTTTGCACAATTGGCTATAGGCTTCCATTCCTTTGAATAAGACACAAATTTCCCACCTCTGACTAAGAATCTGGGAATTCCTACTTGAAAAGTGCAACATCCTTTAGCCTCATGGCTCCAGTACATAGCCAGCGGCAAACCTTAGACAAAAAGCAGGTCTTTGCTGACCATCATTTGGGTATGCATGTTTTTTGGCTGGACCATTGCATCAATGTGAAGAATGTTACATATGAATGAAGTGAAAACCTAAAAATGATAAACTGTGTGACCACAGGCTTGGCGAGAAATGCTGAGTCATCTGAAGACCACAGTTTTGACACTGTTGTGCTGCTGGGCAGGAGCAACACTGCCAAACATGCTATCAGGAGAGCCATTCTCAGCTATGATGATATAAAGCCAGACCAATCAACATATGAAATAGCATGTGAGATAAATGCAGATTGGCTCACCATTGTTGATACTGCTGACCTGTCCAACACACCAAACTCAGACATGGAGAAAAAGGTTTTGGAGTATATGGACCCATCAAGTAAGTGTCGCAGCGTGTTTCTCCTGGTGCTTCAACATGGGCCGGTATCTGAGGAGGATATCAGTGTGTTCATCTACCTACAGCAGAGATTTGGACAGAAAATAGTGGACAGAATGGTTCCTGTCTTGGTCAACGAAAAGACGCCATTAGTTGAAGATGACCATAATCTTAGAAAGATTGTTCATGGCTGCAGTGGGAAAGTATATTTTTTCCATGATGGAATGGACAGAATGAAACTGCTGGATGAACTTAAGAAACTTTATGAAATCACAGAAAACGAAGAGATGCTTGACTCGAGCTGGTAAGACACAACAACACCACCAATCACAGCAATAATGGTAACACTTTACTTGAAGGATGTCTGATATAAAATATTCACAACATCTTACATAAACACTTGATAACATGTTCATGAATGTTTAACACTTTAAAGTCCCAGGCCTATTACATACCAAGGCTTATTATTCAGTAACTACAGGGACTTCGATGCAAAACACTTCAGCTTTTCTTAGGTTATAATGGTTAATAAAACTTGGTAGGCCTATGGCTTGGTAAGAGGTTAAATAAACATTTGCAAAGTATACATGTTTTATATGACATTAATATGGAGTACTATGTCATTTTACTGAGATCAAAATAAAAGTCCTCATTTTTCATTTTGGAAAAGTATATTATTTTCTGTAAGACGCCTCATTTCTGGACAGCCAAAATAAAAATGATATCCGGTCATTAAGTATTTTCACACTCAGGCATTTTTGCCTATATTTCCAACTTCTTTTTTAGTTATTTGTTTTTTCTTAAGCATTAGTTGCTTCGCATGTAACTTTACTACATGGACAGTACATTACTCATAAATATGCTATGAACAATCATTTGACTGAATCTAAGTATGGTGGTGGGACTCACTGCATGAAGGAATTTTACAAGGCAATAAAACTCATCCATTCCCTGTAGATGCTGGACAGCCACATTAATGTAAGTCACTTTTTTTTGAAGACAAAACAGAATGTATTAATTCTTGGGATAGCAGTGTAATGTTTAACCTCAAAGGGAGTCGATTAAACATGATAACCAATGCACAGTTATACTTGTGCCTTCTCCAATACCATAGGTGAAGAAGAACATCACTAAAAGATCAAATAAAACCTCTAAAGTATTCATTATTCCTTAACAGAATAACATAGCTAGCATTTAGCCCCAGGAAAGTCAAGAAAGATAATGCTTTTTCTCAATAATGTATAGAGTGTTGAGTTGAACCTTTGGCACAACAAATTTTGAAGATGACAGAGCAAAAGGAGAAATAACAACAAAGTGGAAAATACAAATGCTTAAGAAGGCTTAAATATAGGCAAAGATGCCAATATGTCAAAGCACTTAATGACCAAAGGGGTAAAGTGAGGTCATTTTGGCTGTCCAGAAATGAGGCATTTTGCTGAAAATAATATGCCAAAAAGAAAAGTGAGGACTATGGATGTCAATTTAAGCATTCGTTAACATGCTATGAAGTGTTTATATGAGACGTTATGAAGGTGTTATGTAGACACCTTTCAAGTAAAGTGTTACTGCAATGATAATAATAATGCTGCAGCCCAAGTTCTGTACAACAGCTTTTATGGAATTGTTAATCCTGACAGCATAACTAACATTTTGCTCAGGCCTGAAGACCACGTGTTTCAAGAGATCTTGCAGACTGATTTGAGTCCTCCTCAGGAAACAAAGGCAGAAGACAATGGAATAGGTACAGCACCATTTCTATCTAAAGCCATTAAAAAAGTTCTAAACATTCATATTGTTATGGTGATGCAGAAGTAAATAAATAAATAAAACAGTATGAAGGCTATGCAAAATCTCATTTTATGTTTTATGTTTTATTCTTTATTTTAATATGTTAAACTTAGCAACTAAATAGAAATTGTGCACTAAAATGTACAGAAAAAATGCTATATTTAAACGTATTCCCTGTAGAAGATGTGTTACCTGATTTTCATGTAGAAAGTCGACAAACCACATCATTTAAGTTAAGTGATTAAGAGACCCTTATTCCACAACGGGGAAATTTCACTTCCACATTTAACCCATCCGTGAAGTGAAACACCACTTACACTCTAGTGAACACACACTAGGGGGCAGTGAGCACACTTGCCTGGAGCGGTGGGCAGCCCTATCCGCAGCACCCGGGGAGCAGTTGGGGGTTAGGTGCCTTACTCAGGGACACCTCAGTCATGTACTGTTGGCTCTGGGGATCGAACCAGCAACCTTCCAGTCACAAGGCTTGTTCCCTAACCTCCAGCCTATGACTGCCCCAATGACCAGTGGTGTTCAAATTTTTGCATGCAACTGTATTTTAATTGTTTATTCATGGAATTTAACAATGGTTCAGTGGCTTCTATGTTGGTTTAGAGTCAATGAATTTGTATTAGATCTAAGTGAAAATTATGTATTGGGGTAAACAACTTTACGATGCAGCAGATAAAGATCACGTTGAACAATGCCGTGGCATTCTACAGATGATAACACATACACTTGAACTTTTGTTCTAGAAGGAAACCAGGCTGCCTCCATGCCGGACATCAAGAGAAACCCCAGAGAAAGAAACGTGATGACCATTGTGCTGTTGGGACAGACCGGCAGTGGGAAAAGTGCGACTGGTAACACCATACTGGCTAGGAGGCAGTTTGAATCTCGTGCCAGTTCCACAGCCATAACACAGAAATGTGAGAGAGCAGAGGGATTAGTATGCGGGATAAAGGTCAGCGTCATCGATACGCCAGATTTCTTTGACGAAGATCTAGAGAATCCAGAGATCCACATTAAGAAGTGTAAAGAACTCTCTCAGCAGGAGCCTGTGGTGTATTTACTGGTCATGCACATGGGCCGTTTCTCAGAGGGTGAGAGAGAGAGCGTCTCGAATTTTCAGAAAATATTTGGCGAGGGTTTGGTCGAAAAGGCGATCGTTCTGTTCACAGGCAAAGAGAAGCTCAAAGGTGGGAGTTTAGGTGACTACATTAAACTTGCTGACCCTCAGCTTCGGCGGCTGATAAAAACACTTGGTTTCAGATATCATGCCTTTAGTAACGACGACAAAAGGCGTCACCAAGTAAAAAAGCTGATGGAGATGATTATGGAAATGCTGGTCAAGCAAAACCAAGACATAGATGAACTCTACCCCAGTTATAAGAAGTCAAACAACACAAACTGTGCAATCTCATAGGCCACACTTAAGGAAGGGACTGAAAGGTGTTCTATGTGGTTTCTGTGATGCCATTGAAGAAGGACTTTGGTTTCTCAGAAGAACTTTTCAATGGATGGTTCTTTAAAGAAGATCTACTTGGAAGTTGGTATAGCACATTTAGGTTCTTTAAGGAAAGTGTACCTTCACATGAAGTAAAGGTTCTATATGCATGTCCTAGTGTAGCACAGCAGAGTCTATACTGAGAAGATACCAATTTAATCAATCAATCAATCAATCAATCAACATTTAGACTAAAGGGTACATTGAGAGTGACCCTCATTTGCAATATTGTCCAACATGATAAGCAAATATACAGGCATTGAAAACTATACAACAAAATATGGTGATAAATTCATGCAAAATTAAATTAAATCAACCAAAACAAGTAAATATAAAAATGAGAGTATATTTTTTAGGAATAAATTTCTGATGTAAGTCATTTATACTTCTGTTTTATTGTTTTGCAAATGTGCAGAAAAGAGTGGTGTACACAATGAAGCGGTACAACACTGCCATCTTCTGGTGGAAGCGCATAGCTTTACAGGCCAAATATGACCAAGTATGATACGAAAGGGGGGAAAGAAAAAAGATATAAAATGGGTTAATTCAGGGGTGCACAGCTTCAGTGTTGGACATCCGGTGTCCAGCACAGTTTGGTGACCTACCTGCTCAAACAACCTGATTAGATGTATCTGTTAATTGCCAGGTTTAGTGGGTGTGTTTGAGTGAGGAAGCCTCCAAACTGTGCTGGACACCGGCCCTCCAGACCTGGAGCTGTGGACCCCTGGGTTAATTTCATTGTTGTTTAAATAATAAAATTAAGACGAATTACAATTCAGTGACCAAAATGTCTCAGTGAAGCATTCTTATTGGTAAAGCTATGTTTTTTATCATTACTCATGAATTTCTGGACGCCTTTTGTTTAGTAAATTATTTCAGTTTCTTTTTTTAAGCCCTTATGTATGAAAGAAATTCTCAGAGAATCTTTATTCATTTGTTAATATTGTGTTTGTTATATTTAAGAATGAATTATTTGTACACAGTACATCTATTTTAAATATAAAACATAGAAAAATATGAAAACATGAGCAGTTGTTATTCTAGCCATCTTATACAGAATGAAAAATGAGTTTAATCATCTGAGTTGATGAAAATAAACTATGATAACATTTTAGGCCACCCTCATTTATTCATTTTAGGTCAAAACATCCACATATAAGTTATTGATTTCCATTTTTCTGACAGAACATATAAGATAATCCATCTTGCATAGAGAAGCAGAAAGTCAAAGGAAAATATATATAAAATTAAAAAAAAAACAGGAGTTTCACAAAATAGTTAAAGGCTACAGAACACATGGGCCTCCTAACAACCACCTGGAAGGCCTGGTAGACCCCAAAACTGCCCCCATCATTTAAACAGCACTTAAAGCTTTCATCTTTGAGAGAGAGGAGACAATCAAGCTGCTTCAGATCTGAAAACATCCACTGGTGTTTCTGTCCATCCTTCCACTGTGAGAAGATGACTCAGCGCTGTGGGTCTGAAAGGATGTGTAGCTGTCAAGACGTCCTCACTGAGAAAAGGAGACGGACACATCAAACAAAGAAGCTGAACAATGGACAGACCACCCCAGAGTCCAGACCTCAGCATCACTGAATGTGTTTAGGATTACTTGGATCGTAAGAAGCAGAAGATGCACCCAACTATCTGAACTTTGGAGGTGTGGCTGGACAAAAAAAGAAGAACATTTTCACAAGAACACCAAACCTGGACGTCTGAGATCTGCAGTGAGGTTTTATGGACTGATGGCTCTAAATGAGTAACTGGGATTACTTGGATTGTAAGAAGCAGAAAGTGTGACTAACTTCTAGGACTGAACTTTTGGAGATGTGGAAAAATATCCTTCCTAAATTTGTAATCCTACTAAATTTTGCTACCTTCAGCTGTAGGATGAAGTCCTTTGCTACACGACATTGACCTGAACATGACCCAGAAACATGATATGATGCACTGGTATACATGCTCTCTTAGAAGGAACTAATCTCCCTCATTGCTATTGTTCTCTTAGAACTGAGCTGTGTTAACGTAAGCCTTTATTAAAAGCACATTTAAGCTTTATGAGAAAAGTCCTGCTGCTTGCTTGGCACTGTTGAGTGTCCAGGGTTCCTGTAAGAGAGCTGTTTTATTGATTGATTCGTGGAAATGATGCATTGCCATCTACAATACTAGGGTTCAGGAGCCTGGAATGTTTGCTTGCTTTCCAATGTATTTCTAATAAATGCAAAAATTAGGTTTCACAAACTGTGTTGAATTTTGTGCTAATGGTAAAATATTTTTTTAAAATCAGTTTATCTGCAAGAAATGTGTGAGTTTATTAAATATTTATTGTATAGTGATAACTAGAGGGCCATACAGTCATATGCAAATGTTAAGGCACCTCTGGTTAAATATTGCAAATAACAAAAGAACATAAAATGTGACCTGTGGAAACGTTTATTTTTTCCCAATTTAACTATATAAAACATGGTTAAATGTAATGGTTGTCCATTTGCTGTGTGTCTCTGATTGGTGGTGAGGGCACCAATGAAAACACTGTAATCTGGGGTCATTATTATGATCTTGTAATACTCCTATATTAAGCTTTATCAAGCCAGTAGCTGGTAACTCACTGTTTATTACTACTTTATTAAGTGGTTACTATAGTGAATTAAGCATATGAAAACCCATTATATTTAACCATGTTTTATAGCTAAGGTTTCTGAGACCCCAAACAGAAAGTATGTTTAATATCAGTATGTGTATCATATGTCTATATTTTTCTATATGCTTTGATTCTCTGATTGGTACTGAGGGCTCCAATGTAAACAATCAGTAATCTAAGATTATATTAAGGTTTATCAAGCTGGTAGCTGGTAACTCACTGTTTATTACTACTTTATTAAGCAGTAACTATAGTAAATTAAGCATTCTAATTTGTACATCATGCATCATTATCTTTTGCACAATATTTAAGGTGCCCAGTGTCCTTATTAAGCTTTATCAAAGCTTAGGCATTATAGAAATAATTATATGTTTGATAAGGGCATTATCAAGAACAAAAGTATCTGGTTGATTTTAATTTGATCAACAGAAGGAAAATAAAAAATTGAAGGGAGTTGTTTAAATTTGCATTTTTGTTTTACCCCTTACATAATTTTGACCACCAAAAAATCAGGATGTACAGTAAGTAAAATGCCCAAAAAACCTACAGTAATTACATCTATACCTGATCCTGTAACTGTAATGAAGCAAATAGGTACCTATTTACAGGCCTTGACCTCTAAAAAGCTAAGACATATCTTCCTTTAGCTTAATCTCAGTTATTTTTGTTGCCCTGAAATCACATAGCACTTCTCTAAGAAATGACCATTTGCTGTCTTTCAAAAAAGCATTTTACATTCACTGAAGTGCACGATTTCAGCTGAAGCACTTTCATTTCAACTTGACCTTCTTAAAACTTCTGCATAAAAATGTGCTGATTGTTGGATGCAAAACTAGTTTGAAAGAAATTGTTGCTTGAGAAAAAGAAAACTGCTCCTTCTTCCTGAAAGCCACACTCTCCTTTCTAATGCATTCTTGAACCTTTGCCAAGTCATGATTTCCCTGATGCCACAAAGCTGTTTACTTTCAGTCTATCTTAAAGGTGAAAATGCCAACAGGCAACACCTGCCAGAAAACTGGGTTCTGGAGTTTCTCAAAAGGTTACCAGTAAAGAGGCCTGAACAATGTGGATAGTCATTATGCTGCATGCACATGTGGGAACATGCACTGTTAAATATTCATTAAATCAAATTAAGTAGTTTAGCAATCCAGAAAACCATGACCAAGTGAATTTGAGGTATTTAGGGAATGCAGATCAATAGGAATGCATACAGTCATAGGGTTTGGGCTTCTGTTCACATGACATGATTTATTGATTTTCTAAGTGAAAATGATGCACAATATCTAATCCGTCACTGAATTTAACCCCTTAACAAGCCATGGGCCAAGTGCATTCTTTGCAAATATGTCAACTTATTTTCATTTAGAGAACCAACAAAACATGTAACTTGATTAGATGTTCAAGCTTTTGCATACAACTATACACGTTATGTTTTACCGCATTACACATTAATTACACATTAGTTACAAATTAATTATAAAAGTCTTTTGCTGAAGTAAGTATAATATTGAAAATGATCTATCTCTCTAGTTTTTACTTGCCTTTACAGTGATCCCCAAAGCCAACAGTTTTAAAACTTTTACTGTAATCTGCATTAAAATGTGCTCTTTTTGCATCAGGCTCAGTTATGGATAAATGTTCAGCAGGAAATTCTGCAGTTCTCACTGCCCTCTGCTGGCAAAGAAGAGGATGGCAATGGTGGACATCCAGATATAACAGAAGAGACATGATAGGCTGAAATTACTAATACTCCTAATAATATTAATAATAATGATAAAAATAATAATAATAATGAAGCTAAACAACTAAATGTATCCTCATATATATATATATATATATATATATATATATATATATATATATATATATATATATATATATATACCACTCTTCATTTATTTAACTTACCAAGCCATGAGCAGGCCTAAACTTTTATTACTCACTTCTATAACCTAAGAATAGCTCCATTAGTTTAGCATGAGTTGCCTGTAGTTAATGAATAATGATCCTTAGTATGTAATGAGCCTGGAATGTTAAGGGGTTAATTTCCAGTCATAAGCACAGTTCATTCATTTTTCAGGAGATATAGTCATATTCAAAAGTTTATGCTTACCCATAAGTTTTGGTCCTACCCTAATGTAAATTCATATTCCACTATCAAAGCCCTTGATAAAACTATTGTGTCAGATCTATTACTTGCTTTTTTGAATCAGTGGTAGTAAATTCATTCATTGATAAATATGAAGGCCAAACCATTTACTGTAGTACATTTCCACTGTAGTGGAAGTTGAGGCCTAGCCCTCTATTCTGGCAGGAGCTTAGGGATCTGGGGAAAGCGCTACATGTTGAGAGATATCGCTGTATGTTTACTAAAAGTGATATCTTCCTGAAAACATGGCAACCCCTATTTGACAAATGGGCAGCTGCCTGTGATAAGGCACATGTTTAGATTGACCCCCCATGCACTTGGACACTCAAATATAAGACTATATGAATTAAACATATATTGAAACTCATTGTACATTATGAAGACCGTAAATGTTTTTAGCATCCTTTATGCAGGCACTTTTTATTCCATAACTTTTTTTTTCTTTGGTTATTGTCATTTTGTGTTGAACCTTTTCTTAATTGGCTTCCAAGGAAGCGCAGGAGGGGGTGGGTGGGAGGTAAGGGTTGTCCTTTGAAGAAAAGAGGAAAGAAAAATAATAGGAGAAACAATACTTTGTAAGACTTGCATATGTCCTTGACTGAAAATAAGCACATA